CTTTTTCTTTTTAAATAGATTCATGCTTTTAGAAGGTCACTCATCTTGGAAGTATGGAAAGTAGATGTTAACAGAGAAACAGGTTACAATCTTGTGTTAATTGCAGTAGGAAGTGACAGGGCCTGACCTAGGTCTTGGAGTGCTAATTGAGGGAGAGGAAAAATTCTAGAGTTGCTAGAAAAACTGACTCCAGTGAGTAGGGACCCACTGGCTATGGCACTGTGGGAGGTGTATGAGGTATATGACCCCACCAGACTAGACTTGGTGTCAGAACCTTGACAAAGCAATTGACTCCTCTCTCAGAAATGCTTTCACCCCTGAACACATAAAACAGATCTAAAGATAATTTTGCTCATTTCTTTAAATTATTTTTTAAATTATCTTAAAATACACAGAACAAACTTTACCACCTTCACCATTTTTAAGTTCACAGTTCAGTGGCATTGAATACATCACATTGTTGTGCAACCATCACCATTGTCCATTTCCAGAACTATTTTCATCTTTTGTGAAACTGAAAGTCTGTATCCATTAAACAAAACTCCCCATTTTCTTCCACCTGCATCGCTGGCAACCACCACTTATATTCTGTCTCTATGGATATGATTACTCTAGGTATCTCATGCAAGTGGAATTATGCAGTATCTGTCTTTTGATGACTGGCTTATATTACTTGGCACCGTGTCCTCAAAGTTTATCCATGTTGTAACATATGTCAGAATTTCCTTTTTAGACTGGCTTATATTACTTGGCACTGTGTCCTCAAAGTTTATCCATGTTGTAACATATGTCAGAATTTCCTTTTTAAAGCTGAATAATATTCTATTGTGTGCATCTACCACATTTTGTTTATCCATTCAGCCATTGATGGATACTTGTGTTGCTTCCACCTTTGGGATATTTACTTACTTTCCAAAGCTTAAAATAACATTTGTAAGATGGCTGCACTATTTCAAACTAAAAATCTCTGCAAATTCTCAATATTTTAAAAAGTGTGTAAATTTGTTATTTTTTACTAATTAGCTTAATGGGAAAAAAAGAGAGAGAAAAGCACCAAATTGATCTCAACCAGCACAGATTTCTCAAAATCTTCCATCTTCTATTTACTCTTTATGTGATTTTCTATGCCTTTTCCTTTCTTGCTTTTATGCTATAGTTAAGAAGAAATTGGCTGTTAAATAACCCTTAGAATAGCCAGTGTATGATGATTATTGTACGACAATCAGTGCTGTTTTGTTTTACTTGCATCTTTGTCAAATAAAGCAAAGATGCATTGCTTCTTTCATCCCAAGTCTCTCCACTGATTTCTGCATTCTTCTTCCTGAAGAACATCATTCAGCAGCTCTTTCAGCAAGGATCTAGTCAATTTCTCACACTTTGCTGCTCTGAAAGTGTATTTCACCCTCACTCTTGAATGAAAATAAGACCATAGTTAGACACATCACAGTGAAACTTCGGAACACCAAAGATAAAGAAGTGTACAAACTCAAGAACTTATACATAGACATCTGGCATATGACAGAAGCAGCATTACAATTAGTAGTCTTAGGGAAGTTGGTTATTCAGGTAGATGAAAAACCTAAAATGAAAAAATGCAGTATTGTAAAAGTTTGGAAGAAAATAGAAAATAATGTCTTTATGGTATTGAAGAAGTAGTTACTATATAAAATTCAAGAACATAAGCCATAAAAAGATAATAAATTTAAATAACTTAAACTTTAACAAAAATCCTCTACACAATGCCATATACAAACTAGAAGAGCAAGGCTCATACTAGGATATTTGCATAGCACATAACACACAATTACTATTGTGTAAAGAATTCCAACAAATCAATAAGAAAAAGTGATAACCCGATAGGAAAAATGGGCAAAGAATGTGAATAGGTAATTTATGGAAGCATAAACTTGAATAAACTATAAACATATGAAAAGATGATTAATCTCACCAGTAGTCAGAGAAATTAAAAATAAAGAAACATTGAGATGGTTCTCTACACTCATTGACCTGGTAAAGGAAATATTTTAATCTGACCACACAGAATATTGGTGATGATACGGAGAAAAAGAACTCTTAAAAATAATTAGAGAGCAGATTGCTACAATCACTTTGAAAAACTTAGTACTGCTTAAGAAATTTGAAGGCCCACATAGCCCACAACCTGGCAGTTCCACATCTGGGTATAGACCCTAAAGAACCTCTTTAACATCTGCAAAATGGCCACAGACACAGGCATGCATTGCAACACTCTGCATGGAGAGACTAACAACTCAGTGGTGAATAAATAGAGACTAGTTTACATGGACTAGAACACCATGTAGCAGTTAGAGTAAATGCACTGGAAACATACCAACCTAGATAAAGCTTTAGAATATGATAGATGTCAGAATTAAGTTGTACGTTCCTATAGCTCAGATACTCTGGAGAGAGAGATCCTGCCCCTGTGCAATAGCATACAGGAAGTTTGGGGGCAGGGGGAGGGCCCTCCAAATCAACACCTGTAAGGGAGTCAGGGAAACAGGACAGGCAGAGAGAGAAGCTGAACCACAACTCAGTTGCAGCAGAGGCTTCAGTTAATTCCACAAGGAGCACTGGAGATAGGATCTCCCCTTAGACTTGTCCTGCATTGAGGCAAGAAGGCCAGCTCTTTTTGCTGGCTCTCCTCCGCCATGCAACAGCCAGTGGATGCTCCCAGGAAGGGGATGTGACTTTGGACAAATTAGCCCCCGTCAGCCAATGGAAATTCCCAGTGAGGGATTCAACTGTGGCCAACACTCCCACATGGGAGAAAAAGTACCCTGTCCTGAAGGTCTGGGATGACCACACCCTTGTAGCCACAACACAGAACAAACCGAATAGTATAATATTTATATCGTTTATAAAAACACAAAAAGCTGTTTGTTGCTTATGTATATAAATATATGTTAAAATTACAAACATCATTGCCCATTCTCCAGTTAGGTTACCGGAGCCAATAAATGTTCCTCATGGCTTCAGCTAGTTTCTGATTGAGTTTCTGTCACTTGCAGCCAAAAGAACCCCGAGTAATACAGAGTAGTGCTTCCTTGTGAGCTGTCCCAAGTGTTTTTTGGAAGTAGACAGGAGAAATAACAAATAAAATAAAACTATTTATTTAAAATTTTATTTGCTTGTCCATTGGTTTATTTCAAATAGCTGTTGTCTTTTCAAGGTAGATTCAGTATCTTGAATGAATGTTGTAGATTATAACTCTATCAGAAGACTTTGTTTTTCTTTATGAAGCCACTGAGGCAGTCCTTCAGTTTCTTTATGAAGGAAAGTAGAACACACTCATGCATTTGAGGGGTCCAGCAGCTTGAGAGGCCACTGGGTGGATGTACTGCTTAGCAAGGGACCTCAGAGCAGGACCCCCTGACTAGCAGACAATAAGGTGTGGGATAAAGCGTTCCAGAGCTGGGCTTAACAGGAGTCCATGAAGGTTCTTAACTTCCTTATACTAAGTTTAATTATTTATAAAATGAGGATAATAATAATACCGATTCTATTCTCCCTGTCTCCCAAGGTTACAGTGAAGAGCAAAAGAAGCAGCATGTGTGAAGATGCCTGGTATGTGTGAAATGAGTACTCTGTAATAGTACAAAAAGCTTTCCATTTGGGGTCACCATGGTAATGTTGGTGACTAAAAATCTGTTTTGTTTTTTCTAAAAATATGTCATGACTGTTTCAGCCTTCACACCTCCCCTTGCCTGGAATGCCTCCCTCCTTTCCCTCCATATGGTGAAATCCTCAGTGTCCTCCAGGCATGCTTCCTCCATTCAGGTGCCTTCTTTTCAAGCTTTTCTCTGAGTCTCTCAGTGGAGTTTGTGGATCACTATTGTATAAGGCTTCTCTCTGGTCATTGCTTTGGGGTCTCTTTCTCCCTTTTCAAGGACTTTATTTTATATATATGTTGACTGAAAAAAATTGCACAACCTAAAAGTTGAGAATTATTTGACTTCTATGACACCTAGGTACAAATACATCATAGTTAACGTTGATGACTCTGAAGACATGTCTATATTAATTAAATCAGCAAACTTTAATTTGAGGTATTTACTCAGACTGAATATTCCCCAGTTCACGTGAACCTGAAATCCATTCTGGCCAGTTTCCTTTTATATTTCGGAGAATTTATATAAGCACTTAATTTCCTTTAAGCCAATGAAGTAGAGCTCATTTATAAATTAATCTGGTAATACCATCCAAAGGTAAAGACATCTATAACATACACATAGACATATAGGCAGACACATCCAGAGATCTCATAGGTTCATTTTCTAAACATAGTCATGAATCAGGTATCACAATATAAAACCCACTACTTTAAAAATAACAGTTGGAACAAGTTAAATTTAAAAAGCCCCCCCCCCACCAACAGTCTTAGGAATGAGAGATGGTCTAGGTAGGATGAGTGTCCCTGAGAGCCCTGGTCTCACGGCACAGGGAGAGAAACGCAAGTTCTCCTAGAAGGGCTTGTTCCCTCAGGGTCAGAATTATGAAGTACTTTTTTTTTTCTCTTTTCAGACTAGCTTTCTTTAACAACTGGGTATGTAATAAAAGAGCCCACTTTGGTCATTTTCAGGGCAAAATTTTCCTTTAATTACCAATTAAGTAAGTACTTTCAAGTATATGTTCCGTATGTACATAAACCTGGCTGGGGTGTTAGCCAGAGGCTGGCTTTCTGACACCCCTTGATTCTGTTTGAGAGGCTCTGTTTCGCATTTTAAAATGGAGTTTGTTGGGGATGAAATTGACTGATGAAATTGTGTGGTGGGCCAGTGTGCTGCTCGTGAGTTTAACTCCTCCAGGCGTCACCCCGGAGTCGTTTCAGCCCTCTTGCATGGCTCCGTTTCTCCCTTCGGTGGTCTTAGACCACCGTGAGCACCCAGATCCCTGAACGGCCAATGCTTACACGTGACCCCTGGATGAGTAACTCTTTTCATTAATGAGTGGGTTTCCCTATGGAACCACTGCGCGGTATGCAGACTGTGCCTCCACCACTACCATAAATTTCTCAGTTGCCTGAGGAAGCCGTAAGGAGCCGGGAGTGTCCTGGGCAGTGGAGCGCGGTGCAGGGGGCGGTCTCACTGTCTCCGGCTCTTCCTGATGGTGAGAGGGTGCTCAGCTGCAGTCATAGGACACGACATTCTCTCGGAGCATCTCTCTCTATGAAAGAAAAAAGAGTAAAGGAGAGGGAAGGAAAGCAAAGGGCTGGAAAAGAAAGCCAGTAAGAGGATGAATTAGACGGGCTGTGGTTTTGAAACATGAAGCCTAGATAACAGCAAATGGAAACAGAATGGACTAAAAACTTTAAAGCTATGAAACAAAGTAATACGAGAAATCTTAAATCTGAAAAAAAAAAAAAGATGTTTGAAGAAAACAAATCCCAGGAGACTTAAGAAAGTCCCTAAATTTCCTTGATTGTCCTAAACAGAGAACTGGACCAAAGTGAGGTAAGTACAACCACTTTCTCCAAGTTCTTTGCCGTAGTCAGTGGACTTTTCCGATTCTTTGAGACCATCACAATCCCAGCCACCCTTGGGATCCACTCCCTTTAGAGTGTTGGTACCAAAAAGCCTTACAAATGCTGTTTGTGTAGAGAAATCAGTGATGTTAAAGAAAGCCATCATTCATGAGGAAAGTTCCAAAGGGAGCAGTAACATAAAATGATGCAAATGCCAAAGATATGAAAAATAAACACAATTGTTACAAGACACAATAGCTCTGAACATTTGCTTTTATGTGACAGATGTTTTTAACCAAAGCTCAACATTGGCAGTTTGAGTCCACTTATGATTTTAATCTGAGTCCTATCCCCTTTTCATATTGATGCCTACTGACAACATCTGCGAAGGCGCTGTAACCTGAATTTGACAGGGGAAAGTGAACAGACGGCCTTTGGAGTGTTTCCATTAAGTCTATGTAACAGACTGTTAATAAAAATCTGAAATAGCTATCCTAATCATCAACAGCAATCTTACACAAATTAAATTAGACCCAAAGGGCCCGATTAACTTTAAAATGCCTTATAGGCATGTAACATAAGTTTAACTCTTTTTTCCTTTGGGGTAGAATAGGATTGTTTGGTGTGAGTCTGATGTACTGTTTTTTTTTTTAAGTTAGCATGCATGTTGGACTCATAATGACAGGGAGACAGAGTTTCACTTTCTTTATCAGGAAACCACACTTCTGTGCATAGAAATTCAGTTAGGCCGCAGCCAAGCTCCCTGTTTACATGCAAAGCAGATGCTTCGAAAGAGGGAACGTACCTCCTCTAATAAACTCAAGGAGGTCTTCTTGGTAAAGGAACAGGTATTAACATTACAATGATGCCATCAGCAGAGGTAAAAGCTGAGCTAGAACTTCTGCAGTTCAGACCCACCTATCAAGAAATTAGCTGGATTTATGGTTTCAAGTATAATCATATCATAAACCAAGAAAAAAAACATTGTTAAAAATATCTTCCATTCTCTGTTTTAGCCAGATCCCCAGAGGCCTGTCCAAACGCACTTCTTGAATTTTCATTTATCCTGAATCCCAGCCAGCAGGCCCGTCATTTGTACATTTTGGTATATAGTCTCCAATCCTTGTACACATGTGAAAACTTCTCAAAGGCAACTTCCTTCCAGCTGCATGGAACATGTAATTTCCACCCAAATCAACAGCAGTAGATGAGGAACCCAACTCATGTTAAAGAATATTAACCATTAAAATTATCAACACTACATTTTGGACATTTGAGGAACGTTTGTCCTTCCAGTTCTTACAATGCTATCACAGACACCCAAACTTGTCAACACCTCTCTGTTTTGGTGCCCAGCAGTTAGATTTTTCACCCAGGAGGAGACGTTCTCGTCTCCACATCTCCCCAGACACTAGATCAGAGTCGTGGAAGATGTTCACTGCCTGCAGAATATTCCTCAGCACCTTGCAGAACCGAAGTGCTTTCCAGAGGAGGGAAGCTATAGCTCAAGTGGTAGAGCGCATGCTTTGCAGACACAAAGTGCTGGGTTAAATCGTCAGTATCTCCTCTAAAAATACACAAGTATACCTATGACCTCCTCCCAAAAAGCAAACAGAAAAAAGGGACATGCAAAGTGCTTTTCAGAAACATACCCCTCCTCCACACGTCTCAGGGGATTTGATGACAGTCTGGATCACCAAGGATAGAACCTGATTCATTCAAGTCAATGGCAGTGCCCCGGTCACTGTCAGTAGGCCAGGGATGGGCACGTACTCTGAGATGCTATCGGCAGAAAAAAAAAAGGACTTATCTTTCATGCTTCAGTGTGAACCAGAAAAGCATATAGCTCCCACTGCCACTGGCAGCCAGATTGTGAGTGAGCATGAAGAGAACCGGTGTTAGGATGAAAGTAATGCTGCTCTCCCTTTGGAATCTGGATATAACATTAAATGTGCTGATGGTTTATGCCAGCTTGAGTCAGGGATTTTAACTCCCTGCAGCTGAAAATACTCAACTGACTTCAGGGGTCTTCTGAGCAATTTGTACTCCAGTGTCTATGAGTTTTTCCTAGAATTCAACCACCAGTTCACGGAGGCTGGGCCAAGAGGCTCTAAATTGTAGAGAATATACCCCATAGTGTCTCCATCCTCCAGGGCTAGACCCCTGGTTTTGAACCAAGTGTGTGTTTAGCTCTCTGAGAATAGCTGCATTCTCTCCTACAACTAGACGCTTCCTACCCGCCTGCCAAGTACGCTCAGTTACACCCTAAAATATGTCAGGCTAGGCCCAAACTAGAACCCCTGGTACATAAATAAAGGTATTTTTGTACATTTGAGCTAAAAAATAGATATTTTTTAATTTATCCATCTTCACTCCCCCTTCCCCTCAGCAACTTTACATGAAATCTGGACTGGAGACATGGCCAGACTAAGGAGGACAACTGAGGAGAGCTTGAGCTGGGACTGAGCCCCCATCCCTGCCCTGAATTCCACACTCGGCCCACTGCTCTGAGCACAGAGCCTTCCAGTGTAACCCTAATGCCCCCTCCCAATGGCCTGGGCGCATTACACACTGACTATGTTGGGGATTTGGAATAAAGCTGTTAAAATTCTATATTTAAGAAGTCTGAATTTTTCATACCTGCCAAATTAGCTGTTAATACCATTATTGCTGTTTTCTTAGAAATAGTGCTAAATGCAGTGAAAATCTAAAGAAGAACAAACCACTGGCAAAGGGTTCTAAGCTCCAGGTTAAGGCTCGGCAGACGCTGTCTGACTGATGATAAAGTCAGTCCAGTTATACCCTGGGCTTCTTCCCACCCATGTGTTCTAAAGTGACTGAGTGGTCATCTAACCACCACCACAACAACACCACTTCTATATTTTAATATAAAAAAGAAACAGAAAAGGCATGCAGACGTTTTATTTTATACCTAATCCTTACGAAATACTTAATTTGCACGAACTGCTGCCAAACGTGGTTTTCAGTATATTCCTGCCTACTCAGAAACACACACTGGCTTCTCTCCCCCCTCCCTCTTCAAGTCTAGAATTCTCTGGCTGGTTTTCAAAGCGCTCTGTGACCACACACCACTAATCAACTATTTTACTTCATCACCTCCCGTGCTCTCTGAAACATCTGCACCATAGCCAGACCCCTCCGTTTAACATTCTCTGATATTCAGGAATAGTGCTCCCTCAGGTTTTAGCCCACATTTTGCCAGCATCTGAAATGCCCTCCACCCTTCCGTGACTGTCAAGTTCTAACCCACAGGACTCCTCATAATCCCCTCTTCACTGACAGTGAGCCCAGTCCGCAACCTTCCCTTACGACCCAAGTGCTCGGCCTTGATTATCAATTGCTGTGTTGTGTTTTTCTAATTATTTCATACGGGTGGGTCTTTTCAAATCTGATTGTACACTTTTTAAGAATAAGCAGTGATGAGGGGGACAGTATAGCTCAAGTGGTACAGCACATGCTTAGCACGCACGAAGTTCTGAGTTCAATCCCCAGTACCTCCTCCAAGAATAAATAAACCTAATTACCGCCTCCCACAGACAACAAAAACAAAACAAGAGTAAGCAGTGATGTTATTCTTTCCTGTATTCATTCTGCAATTCATTCTGCAGAGTGCCCTGCAGTGTGGAACTCGAATGCTCCTCTACAAATGCCTGTTGATGATGGTGAGAAGTAACCTGGAGAACAGGTGAGGCAGCGCCTGACCCGGCATCACTGGCCCCCCAGGTCCTGCTCAGGTACCACTGCCTTCTTATATTAGGATAAGCTCTGATGAAGACCGAGAGCCAAGCTTTCTTGTTCTCTTCCTCAGTGCCCTCTCTTCCTTGCTGTAGACTCTGAGTAGATCAGTTGAGATCTTCAGATCTATAGACTTGATGGATGGAATCTCAAATTTCAAGGACTTTTGAGGGGGTGGGTAACGAGGTTTATTTATTTATTTTTCTTAATGGAGGGACTGGGGGTTGAACCCAGGACCTCATGCATGCTAAGTACATGCTCTACCACGGAGCTACACTCTCCCCCTCAGAATCTCACATTTCAAAGGACGTCTATGGCATTGATAATCCCTTCTAGTTCCAAGTAGGCTAGGATCTAAGCTGTTGCAGCAAAGCTCTTGTTCTCAAAATCCCCAGGCAGTCTTGAATGTCTTGCAGAGATATGAGGTTATTTCTAATGTCTAATCTAAATCTCTTTGGCTGCATGTCAAGGCAGTTCCCTTTATCACAACCCTAAGTAGAAACAGGGACTAGGGCTTTCTTTGCTGAAAACCATGTCCACACCATGTAACTGATTTTTTTTTTAATGTACTTACCAGACTATCTTCTTTGCAAATTAAGGATGTGGTGTTGTGTTTTATATCCAGTCTCAGTTTTAAAGTAAATGGCTATCTATAGCACTGACTATAATAAGGCAAGTCCTTTAAATTTTCAAATATTGGGAGAGTACAGGGAAATTTTTTCGTATTTGCCTTAAATATTTTATTTTAAAAAGTAAGATATGATGGATGCAGTTGATGCTCCCTTTGTACCATTGCCTCTTCCTTCTCTGGAAAGGTAAGGACTATACTGAAGCTGAGTGTATATTCTTCCTGTCCAGTTTTAAAATCATATATAATATATGTATATATCATGTACATATATCACACATTCATGTGTACATATATAGGGGTATATATCAGCATTTGCTCATGACTTCCAGCTCACCCCTTCTCTATTTGATTGTGTCCAGTCTAGAACTTACTCAAGCATTTATTTCAATTGACTGTATTTGGTTTTTTTTTTTAACGTACCCTTGTTCTTCCTTTACTTCTACCACTTTTTATTTTATAATATCTTGTCATTTCTTAGGAGGGCATCCCTTTCTCTCTTTGGGGCGCGAAGACATTTATTTTAACATCAGAGTTGTATCAGGTTTCAGATTGCTGTGTTATTTTTGTATCACCTTGCCCTTCTTCCTCTTCTTCACATATGTGGCTCCTTTCCTTCGGGGTCTCGATGAAAATGTCGTACCCTCTGAGAATCTTCTCC